GGATCTTAGCAGTTTAGTTGGCTCGGGATTCAATGACGAAAACATGGCGAGGAAAACTCTAAGGTAAAGTGACTTAATTTACTTTTTAGAGGGTAGAAAGATAATCATGATCTCGCTTCTAGATAATTATGCGAACTTTTTCAAACGGAATTGCTACTTTTTTACAGTCAAACGTGTAACACATTGACAGCTTCAAATGATAATAATAAAAGTCAAGCCAATCACTCACTACCATATTGCTGTACGATAAGAATTTATTGAAATATCAATTTGGCCCCGAACAGGTTCGACCAATAATACCGTGGCAAGGTCTGCTCATGTAGTGAACACATAAAAAGTCGTAAAATTGGCGGTAAAATTTAACGTTACATGCTTTAAAACGTCATAATTAAGCTGATTCCAATGAGGGCCGAACTTACCCGAATGTCTGTCCGAACTTACCCCTTGGCAGGGCTCGTTCGGCCATCCGATATTCCGATAGGAAAAGTTAAAAAATGTTCAAAAACGGACGTGCTGCCATATTTCCTAGAACGGAATTTAGTAAAAAAAAAAAAAGGTCGAACTTGCCCCGGTCTCCCAATTAATATGTCGGTCTTAATCTCATTACAGCTTGTGTTTTATTGTTCTTCCTAGACTAGCCGACTTTAAATAAAGTTTATCTTATCTCATTCTGAAAGTTGTATTCTGAATCAGTAAATATTAGAGATAAAAAAGCTACGTTCTTTTAAGGCTTTCCCTTTTCATATTAATGACTGTAAATACAGGTGTAACGATGATTGTAATTACTTGTGTAATATTGAATGTAATTACAGGTGTAATAATGATTGTAATTACAGGTGTAATAATGAATGTAATTATTTGTGTAATAATGATTGTAATTACATATGTAATATTGAATGTAATTACAGGTGTAATAATGATTGTGATTACAAGTGCAAAAATTGTTGTAATTACAGGTGTAATAATGATTGTAATAACAGGTGTAAAAATGATTGTAAGTACAGGCGTAATAATGATTGTAATTACAGGTGAACATAATATAATATCAATTTTCTATTATAGCAGGTGTAAATATCTATATACCATTGTTGTTTTGTTACTATTTAGTTTAAATATGTTCACGTGATTTTGTTGTGTTATTACATTGGTAGTGTATCGGGTATATAATCCATTTATCTAGCTTTCATCCCTACGACTTCCCCGTATTGACTGTATGCTATATTTAATTGCCGCGGTATGAGTCTTTGATTGGCAACAAAACAGCTTGTATCTCGTATATTGGACAGCTCTTCGTTTGACCCTTGTTTAAGTTGTCTGACCATTGGAAATTTGCTCCAGCAACAAAAACACCATATAACGGGATTTCCTGATTACAAATTTGCTTTTCATGGCGTTTATTTGTACGTTCAAGGATATTGCAACACACAGTTTTGTCTAGCTTTGGGATAGCGTATTCTTAGCCTATTTTTCGAACCTGTTCATTTTCAGCCTCTAAACGTTTTTTTTTGCTGTCATCATGATTTCTAGGATTTGATGTCGATAACACTACGCAATGGATTTAGAATAATTCATGTCACGTGACTTCCATTTAAGTATTTGTATTAAAACATAAAGACCCCCGCACTTGTATCTATAGGCACAGAGATATATAGTTATTTTGCCATTTCTTATTGATATAAGAATAATTGGTCACAAAACAAACGAGTTTACTGAACGAGACCAACCGTTAAATATAGAACTTAAGTTAATCGGTTTAAACTTTATGTTCAAGTAACCAAACTGCACCGGGCGCTCATGTCAGTCTCTCAGCACAGAGGAAGAATAGACAATGACAAAAACTAGAAGATTCAAGGGTAGTACCAATCCCGCCTATTGAAATGAGAAACACAGAATAACCAAAAGCCAAAACACACACACACATTCTATATTGTACAGGATTCATTTCACGGCTCGGAATAGTGAAATTGAGAATTGCAGGACTGTCAATGGTAATCTTTAATATGTTTGACCGGGTTCATAATAGCCAAGAGCTGTGTACCATTCATTACGCTTCAAAATACAAGTATGAACTGTTGAAAAATGCTTTTGCATATGAAAATATCCCTTGTGCATTTTTTACAGAGATGTTGACTGTACTGCACCTTAATCAGTAGCCACGGTACTCAGTCTATTTGTTATAAAAATGATGTGTATACTGTATCTAAAGTAGTAGCCATGGTAACGTGTCTATTTGTTATAGAAATTATGTTTATACTGTATCTAAAGTAGTAGCCATGGTAACGAGTCTATTTGTTATAGAAATTATGTTTATACTGTATCTAAAGTAGTAGCCATGGCAACGTGTCTATTTGTTATAGAAATTATGTTTATACTGCATCTAAAGAAGTAGCCATGGTAACGTGTCTATTTGTTATAGAAATGATGTGTATACTGTATCTAAAGTAGTAGCCATGGCAACGTGTCTATTTGTTATAGAAATTATGTATATACTGTATCTAAAGTAGTAGCCATGGTAACGAGTCTATTTGTTATAGAAATTATGTTTATACTGTATCTAAAGTAGTAGCCATGGAAACGTGTCTATTTGTTATAGAAATTATGTTTATACTGCATCTAAAGAAGTAGCCATGGTAACGTGTCTATTTGTTATAGAAATTATGTTTATACTGCATCTAAAGTAGTAGCCATGGTAACGTGTCTATTTGTTATAGAAATTATGTTTATACTGCATCTAAAGTAGTAGCCATGGTAACGTGTCTATTTGTTATAGAAATTATGTTTATACTGCATCTAAAGTAGTAGCCATGGAAACGTGTCTATTTGTTATAGAAATTATGTTTATACTGCATCTAAAGAAGTAGCCATGGTAACGTGTCTATTTGTTATAGAAATTATGTTTATACTGCATCTAAAGTAGTAGCCATGGTAACGTGTCTATTTGTTATAGAAATTATGTTTATACTGCATCTAAAGTAGTAGCCATGGAAACGTGTCTATTTGTTATAGAAATTATGTTTATACTGCATCTAAAGAAGTAGCCATGGCAACGTGTCTATTTGTTATAGAAATTATGTTTATACTGCATCTAAAGAAGTAGCCATGGTAACGTGTCTTTTTGTTATAGAAATTATGCTACTTGACATAGCGGACAGAGGTTAAGTGTCTACTGGACATAGTGGACAGAGGTTTAGTGTCTACTGGACATAGTGGACAGAGGTTTAGTGTCTACTGGACATAGTGGACAGTAGTTTATTGTCTACTGGACCTATATGGTGGACAGTTGTTTAGTGTCTTCTGGACATAGTGGACAGTTGTTTAGTGTCTTCTGGACATAGTGGACAGTAGTTTATTGTCTACTGGACATAGTGGGCAGTAGTTTATTGTAGCGGACAGTAGTTTATTGTCTACTGCCCACTATGTCCAGTAGACACTAAACAACTGTGCACTATGTCCAGAAGACAATAACCTACTATCCACTATGTCCAGTAGACAATAAAGTACTGTCCGCTATGTCCAGTAGACAATAAACTACTGTACACTATGTCCAGAAGACAATAAACTACTCTCCACTATGTCCAGTAGACAATAAAGTACTGTCCGCTATGTCCAGTAGACAATAACCTACTGTCCGCTATGTCCAGTAGACAATAAACGACTGCCCACTATGTCAAGTAGCCAATAAACTACTGTCCACTATGTCTAGTAGAAAATAAACTACTGTCCACTATGTCTAGTGGACAATAAACTACTGTCCGCTATGTCCAGTAGACAATAAACGACTGCCCACTATGTCAAGTAGCCAATAAACTACTGTCCACTATGTCTAGTAGAAAATAAACTACTGTCCACTATGTCTAGTAGAAAATAAACTACTGTCCACTATGTCTAGTAGAAAATAAACTACTGTCCACTATGTCTAGTAGAAAATAAACTACTGTCCACTATGTCCAGTAAACAATAAACTACTGTCCGCTATGTCCAGGAGACAATAAACTACTGCCCACTATGTCCAGAAGACAATAAACAACTGTCCACCATATAGGTCCAGTAGACAATAAACTACTGTCCGCTACAATAAACTACTGCCCACTATGTCCAGTAAGCAATAAACTACTGTCCACTATGTCTAGTAGAAAATAAACTACTGTCCACTATGTCCAGCAGACAATAAACTACTGTCCACTATGTCCAGAAGACACTAAACAACGTTGGTGTAACGTTATCTATATAACAGGTGAACTCATGAATATTCACTCTGATGACTATACGTACTGATGGAGTATTGTCTACTAGACATAGTGGACAGTATTTTATTGTCTACTGGACATAGTGGGCAGAAGTTTATTGTCTACTAGACATAGCGGACAGTAGTTTATTGTCCACTAGACATAGTGGACAGTAGTTTATTGTCTACTGTACATAGTGGACAGTAGTTTATTGTCTACTGGACATAGTGGGCAGTAGTTTATTGTCTACTGGACATAGCGGACAGTAGTTTATTGTCTACTGGACATAGTGGACAGTAGTTTATTGTCTACTGGACATAGTGGGCAGTAGTTTATTGTCTACTGGACATAGCGGACAGTAGTTTATTGTCTACTGGACATAGCGGACACTTGTTTAGTGTATAGGCATACGATACTCTGACAGATCAGAATTGTTTTAAGAAGTCAGGAAAAACCATTACCGTAGCCTTTGCCTATTTCTAATAGCAGGTAACGTTGTATGCAGATACAGATGATTGTATAACCTACAACACCGTATATAATCTTTCCAAAATCGAAAACGAATCTGCAAAGATACTACTAGCAAGCGCGCTGGGAAAGAAAGAGAGCGATGTTATGAATATTTTTAATTACCTAAATTTCATCGTTTAGTTACCCTCAAACATTCACCAATTAGTAATTCTATATAAGATATTAAAATGTACCAACAACGCAGACCACTTGACAATTATATAACTCTATGTATAAGTTAAAAAAACAATTGGCGATACTCACCTTTTAAGTTTCCCTTCCACTGAACGTCCGCACGCTATACACCCGAATACAGCACACACCAGTAGCACTTTGGCGACAACTTTTGTGCATATCATATTTATAATAAGTGTTTATAAAAAAGCAAGTAAAATGCGACGAATCCTCTCAGAGATGAATCGCTTGGTACTAAGCGAGTTTAGAAGCGATATGTTGAACGTATGAGTCCACTTGTCCCGGCGCTGTCTGTGTGTGCTCAGTTTATTCACCGTAGTCCGTGTCTGTGGTCACTTAAATACCAAGAGTTTGGACTGTCCATTCGACGTCACGTGCAGTGACAGTCACAAAGCCGGACCAATTAAATAGGCGGGGTGCAAAATGGGAGGGGGCTAACAGGGACACTTGTTACGGCGGACAAAACATGGAATATTCAATTAATGAAATAAATTTTCATCCGGACTACAAGTAAGATCAATTCTGTAGATGAGGCAATGAATCCCCGCTCTGTGCGCGTTTCCTTCCTGTGTATTGATAATTCCGAGTGCTGCGTCGCGTTTACATCTCGGGTTTGGCGGGAGTTATCCACTTCGCGCATGCCCAATAATACAAAAGCGTCCCATTAACAGTAATTAATATAGCGTTTGGTATCAAGTGATGAAAAATCCCCGAATCTGATAAATCATACACAGAATGGTGGAGGACGTCATTACTGAGCACTCATGAATATTCACGCTGATGACTATACGTACTGATGGAGTATCGGTACTCGTTAATCATGTCGGACAAACTTTGTCAGAGTAAGGATCTTGATTACAAGGCGCGGTACAAAGGAACCAAACAAAGATAACTAGATACCAAGACTGACAAACCAATCCTATAGCGGTCGTACCAATGGTCATATCTTCGTCTCAAGCGTAGGAAAGCACAACAGATGACAATTTGTTTTGTCGATTCATGTCCACCGGAAAAATAAAAACGTTTATTATGTATCCATAGCATTACAGTTTACCTAGATAGCATGCTAACGCTGGGCCAATATTGTTTTATGGTTGTTGTAGAGATTAATGTTGGCATTAGCTCAACAACGTTGTTACAATGTATAACTTTGGTGTAACGTTATCTATATAACAGTTGACATGTATGTGTCAGTATAGCGTTGGTGTAACGTTATCTATATACCAGTTGACATGTATGTATCAGTGCAATGTTGGTGTACGTTTACTATATAACAGTTGACATGTATGTATCAGTACAATGTTGGTGTACGTTTTCTATATAATAGTTGACATGTATGTATCAGTATAACGTTGGTGTAACGTTATCTATATAACAGTTGACATGTATGTATCAGTATAACGTTGATGTAACGTTATCTATATAACAGTTGACATGTATGTATCAGTATAACGTTGGGGTAACGTTATCTATATAACAGTTGACATGTATGTGACATCTGTGTATCAGTACAACGTTTGTGTACGTTATCTACATAACAGTTGACATGTATGTATCAGTACAATGTTGGTGTACGTTTTCTATATAATAGTTGACATGTATGTATCAGTATAACGTTGGTGTAACGTTATCTATATAACAGTTGACATCTGTGTATCAGTACAACGTTTGTGTACGTTATCTACATAACAGTTGACATGTATGTATCAGTACAACGTTGGTGTACGTTATCTATATAACAGTTGACATGTATGTATCGGTAAAACGTTGGCGTAACGTTATCTATATAACAGTTGACATGTATGTATCAGTACAACGTTTGTGTACGTTATCTATATAACAGTTGACATGTATGTATCGGTAAAACGTTGGTGTAACGTTATCTATATAACAGTTGACATCTGTGTATCAATACAACGTTTGTGTACGTTATCTACATAACAGTTGACATGTATGTATCACTACAACGTTGGTGTACGTTATCTATATAACAGTTGACATGTATGTATCAGTATAACGTTGATGTAACGTTATCTATATAACAGTTGACATGTATGTATCAGTACATGTTGGCGTAACGTTATCTATATAACAGTTGACATGTATGTATCAGTACAACGTTGGTGTAACGTTATCTATATAACAGTTGATATGTGTGTATCAGTACAACGTTGGTGTAACGGTATCTATATAACAGTTGACATGTATGTATCAGGACAATGTTCGTGTAACGTTATCTTTATAACAGTTGACATATATGTATCAGTACAACGTTGGTGTACGTTATCTATAGAACAGTTGACATGTATGTATCAGGACAATCTTGGTGTAACGTTATCTTTATAACAGTTGACATATATGTATCAGTACAACGTTGGTGTAACGGTATCTATATAACAGTTGACATGTATTTATCAGTACAATGTTGGTGTAACGCTATCTATATAACAGTTGACATGTATGTATCAGTACAACGTTGGTGTAAACGTTATCTATATAACAGTTGACATGTATGCATCAGTACAACGTTGGTTTACGTTATCT